AAAAATAACAACACTTTGTCAGGACCATGAGGCGATCATTCCTACCAACTTTCAGTTCAATCGGCCCAGCAGAACTTGACTTTAAGTTTGAAATGTAAAATGTTAACGGACGACGGACGACGACGGATGAAAACGGATAGCAATAGGTCACTTGAGCTAAAGCTCAGGTGACCTAAAAAGAAGGAATCCATTAATTATGATATTTGTCTAAAGTTACTTTATCATGCCAGTAGTATATTTACCTGTATACCCCTTATCATGAGAGGAGAGCCTGAGGGTTCATATATGATTTTGCTGCGGTCGTCCCGAAGTCTCTGTCCATCTTTGTACCAAGTAATCACTGGAGTAGGGTCTCCAGTTACCTCACAGGGCAAAGTGACCGATACATTACCCAGGAATGCTGTGATCAGACGACTGCTCTCCTGTATAAATGGGGGCACTGAAGGAGACAGAGGTCAAAGGTAAGCTAATAAATTAAAGATATAAAACTATCGATTTTTTATACAGGACCTGGAGTCGCAGAAAAGAATGATAAAGCATCCTTGTACACAAAACACAATGCATGTTGAACAATGTGTGTACTTTTGAACTGTATGGACTGTGAAGGGCCTTGGATAAATTCATCAATATTTAGGTTATATGTACATGTATCAGAATGGTCATTTTAGGTGACCAATGTCAAAGGTCAATGCAATATACACCCCTATCATCATTGGTATCTTCTTAATGAAAGACAGCACTCAGAATTTGAAGACAGGGATCAAATGTCAATGAAATAAAACTACACTATTATCAGTTTGTGACTCTATTCAATGAACTAGGGCACAGGGGTGACAGGTCAAAGGTCGTTCAAACATACTCAACACTATTATAAGTTCAGAACTAAATTTATTTAGGGCCTTTTAGAAGACAGATAACAGGTCTTTTATACATTACATCATATCAATTCACTATTTCTCTCCATAAATGGAGGAAATGGGGAGACAGGTCATAGGTCAGTCACACATAACTACAGTAAAATCAATTTGGTAGTTGTTATTGTCAATGAATGAGGGACAAGAGGTCAAAAACCAACGACAGGATAAAATTTGTTTTTAATTGACATCTTTCGTCAGTGAATGAGAAGCATTAAGAAATGTATTGAATGAAATCTTAGTTATCTGTCATTTACTGTCTTCAAATTTGTTTTTAATTGACATCTCTCGTCAGTGAATGAGAAGCATTAAGAAATGTAGTGAATGAAATCTTAGTTATCTGTCATTTACTGTCTTCAAAAAAGGGGCTTAGCCTGGTTTTAGGAAGAAGCAGACTGACTCAGGATGGGCACGTCAAAACAGAATCAACAGGATAGCTTGGAAGCTTTCTCGAGGCTTGCCCTCTGGTAGACTGTCATTCCAACCTTCCTGTATACCCGTTGTTAAGTAAATAGGAGATAGAGTTTGTCTGGGCCTTGGTTAGGCACCAGCCAGGTCTGGAATTATGTTTTTTATCAATTTTCAAGGTTAGAAGACCATTTCTATGTTCAATAAGTTTTTGACACAAATCTCCCTCTGCCATCTGTTGTCTGGCTACGACTCTGGATTAGGAATGACAAAAACCTTATTTTTTCATTAAACTATGTGTTTAACCCCTAGTCTTTGCAGAGGTTCACAAGTCACCAAAACTAGCCTGCATTTGGTTTAACATCCCATTATCACAGCAGCTGTGGGCAGGGCCCATATGTACCAACGTTTACAACAGAAGGGAGTGGTGGTTTTCTTCTGCCTTTTAGTAAGGGTACCAGCACGAGTCTCAGACAGGTTAGTTTGGTCGATTCTGGAGTCACTTCCAACCCATGAGACATCCAGTCTGCCCTCCAGAGTTTGGTATTAAACTACCATATTAGGTCTAAAGATAGCAATCCTGTTTTATTTCATAGAAACAGTGGGTGGTTGTTGAAGATGTGCAAAGTTAAGTAATGATAATCTGCAATGAAATTCGTGATCTGATGTGCATTTACCAAACACACGGAGAGTTCTGTAGACAACGTCAATGCCAGCCTGGTTGACAGCTGTACAGGTGTAGTTTCCAGCATCAGTGGATCTGTTGGAAAAATTAAATAAACTATGTAAGACAATATTACCAAAAATGACTTGTTTATCTTGTTCACATTAACTAATTGTTATTTGAAAACAAGAGATCCCAGGGGGATCTTGGGGCCTACCATTGTACCATCTTTAATATTAGTTCAGTTCAATCTTTTCTCTTCTTTTCTATCATCTGTTTGATTAAGTCACCTGAACAGTAAATGTACCTTGAGGTAACCATTTTGTTTATTCCATCAATCTCAAAAGTAAACATGCACAATTTAGGACGAAGGAGTACGTTCTGAGTAAAAGCAATAACAAACATTCATTGTCCAAATCCAAGATGGCCACCTGTTGGCCATTTTGTTCATCCAATCTCAAAAGTAAACATGTACAACTAGAGACCAAGGGGAACTTAACTTACATATCAAATTTGAGAAAAAAATCCTCCTGGACTTCCTAAGAAATAGCGATAACAAACATTCACTGTCCAAATCAAAGATGGCCTCCTGTCAGCCATTTTGTTTCTCCGATCAGTCTCATAACAGTAACCATGCACAATTGAGAGATTAAGGAAAACCTACATATAAACTTTGAGAAAGATCCCTCCCGACTTTCTGGGAAATAGCGGTAACAAGAACTGGGTAAGGACAATTTGAATAGCCCACGATCAAGGTTTGTTTAAGGACGGACGACAGACGATTTGAATAGCCCACCGTCATCAGATACAGATGATTGGCTATTCAAATCACCTGTCGTCCATCCTTAAACAACTCTTGTTAAAGGCTAAAAATGCCTAGTAGAGGCTTTGACAAGCTTGTTGCAATGGTTGATGTGGTCAAATATAAATGGCTTGACAAAGTTAGGCTATCACAAGCCTGTTTAATCATGGAAGATATATTTGACATTACCTAATTCATGTCCTTGTTAATAGCATGTTATACCCTAACGAACCAAACCAAATCAAACCAAGCTTTACCTTATGGAGGCTATGGCACGTCTGTTTGCATATATGATGTTGGCAGATATATACGACTTGACCAAGTGAGGCTATGAAAAGCTGTTTCGCATGTATAATTTAGTAACATATATTTGACTTTACCTACTGGAGGCTATGACAAGCTTATGGCTATATTTGACATAGCGAGACCGGCTGGTGTCTATGAGTTGGCCATCCTTTCTCCAGGTGGTCTTAGCCCTGGGACTGGCGGTCACACGACATGGGAACACAACTTTTTCTCCAATCTGGGCGGTGTAATCCCTTCGTCCAGAGATAATAGAGGGTTTTACTGAAAAGTTTTTAAGAATAAAATCAAGATAGATACAAGAATTACACAGAAGTGGATGTGTTGCCTGCCAAGCTTGTGTGGAATGATGGCTGATTGGAATTAATTATATTTGCCAATGTATTATTGAACTGATTACAGCAGACTCATCAAATATTTGTGAATTTGGCCATATAACAAGCAAGAGTGGCAAAGGACTTTGGAAGTGGGTAAATAATAGTAGCACCATCTGATAATTCCTTCTAAAGACATCATCAGGAAATGGTCAGTTAATTAGATCACACCAGCTCCATTAAATGAATTTTGCTGAACATCAGACTTGAGTGATAATCTACTTTGGTAGAAAGTTTCCCAGACAAAATTCATGAAAATCTGACAACTCCTTAAAAACACATTATCCAAAATTCATGTCATTCATATTGCAGCTGTCTTATAAAATACATTTGTTTTGCTAGAATTTGACCAAGCATCAAACTCAATCCAGAGCAAGTTCAACGGGCAAGTTTCATCAGAATCTTTTACAAAAATGCCTGGAATCAAATCTGTACAAAATCCAAGTTGGCCGCTTGCAGCCATATTGCATTTTGGATCCAACTCAAAATAAATTCAAATCAATCTCAAGTGGGTAATGGGTACTATAGGTATGTAAAAGTTTCATAAAAACCAAAGCAATCCTTTAAGAGTTATCGCACAGAAACCTTGAAACCTATCTACGAAATCCAAGATAGCAACTACAAACATTTCTCTAAGAGTTGTACTTATTTCATGGAAACCATTTGTGCAAATGACAACACTGCTGACACTAACACAGTAATCCCTATATAAAATGACCAAATGATAATATAAATTGCAATTGAATTATGGCATTGGTAAACAGATACATGTACAATATTTTCTGTCAGTAAGCACAGTTTACTTAATTCAAATTTGAACAGTTATTAACAATTAATAGTTATTATATATGGACTACAGTGGTATATAATCAAATTAAAGATTTACCAAAATGTTGCTCATCAACTTGTATATATCTTACTTAGAGTCCTGAGTCTTACAATGCGGTACGCAAGATCAACAGGGTTTGCAGCAATACATCTGTAAACACCACTATCCTTTCTAGTAACTCTTCTTAGATGCAAGGTTCCATTCTCCAGAACAACTGTAATAAGAAATGTTGAAATAAACACTTCTTGTCATATTTTCATGCATGTAGTAATTTTAAAAGTACATGTAATGTACACATAATTGCTACTGTTCATTGCAAGTCCAACCAATAGTAATTGTATTATGAGATAACACACTGTTTACATGTTACTGACCTTGGTGTGGTTGAAGCTGAGTGAAAAATCCCTTGGACCATGAGATTGTGGGTTTAGGCTGACCTACTGCATCGCAGGGGAGGTAAGCGTCATTGCCAACCAAAACCTCCATACGCAAGTCCCTTGGGCCAACGATACCAGGAGGCACTACAAGGAAAATATATATATGTGCAACAGCTATTTTCAGCCATCAATTCTTTAAAATTGGAACATGTAACTTCATTATCACAGATTTTGTTAGTCAAGAGTGTAGGTTTATAATCAACATACAATAACACAAATCTGTGAAATGTTTTGATGTTTCCCATATCAATTTTTTAAAAACATTAAATGTTTCAATTGAATTAAATAAATATGGTATACTGACAAAGAAATACACTTCCATTGCATCATCTGTGAAGTAGTAAGGATGACAGGAAGGACACAGACTAATTAATATGTCCTAATTTCATTGCGGGACATACACTTTTTTAATGAAGAGTTAACAAAGCATGAATTACAAAACAATAGCTACCTTGTAAGCTGAGGTTGATGCGCTTTGTGTCATTGCCAACAAGATTGGTGACCACACATTCATACATGCCCTGGTCCTCCAGACGCACACGGCTGAACTGAATGGCCCCAAATGACACCTGATGACGGAGACTGGAAAGAGGGAATGGGTAGCCATCTTTCTTCCAGGTCACAATGGGGTCAGGGTATCCACCATACTCACAGGGTAGGACAACTGATGTATCAACAACACCTGTCACTTCATTCACAAGATCTGTGATCCTCGGGGGCACTGTGTGATGGAAACAAAACCTGTACTGCCTGGTAAATAGAGACACCGTCAGGGAAGTAACTCGCCGAGTTCAAAGTACGGTTAAGGAATATTTGCTATCACTAATTCCTTTTGTTTAACATGTGAGTATCTTTTAGTCTGTGTTACAAGCATAATTGACTGTGATATTTTATACTTGTGATGCAATGTTGTTATCCATTCTGAAAGTGGACCCTTGGGTCTGTTGAATTGGAAATAAATAAATAAGCATAGCTATATAGAGACACTGTCAGTGAAGTAACACAGTTATATAGGGACACTGTCAGGGAAGTAACACAGTTACAAAGGGACACTGTTCAGTGACGTAACACAGTTATATAGGGGAACTGTTCAGGGAAGTAACACAGTTACATAGGGACACTGTTCAGGGAAGTAACACAGTCATATAGGGACACTGTCAGGGAAGGAACACAGTTATATAGGGACACTTTCAGGGAAGTAACACAGTTATATAGGGACACTGTTCAGGGAAGTAACACAGTTATATAGGGACACTGTCAGTGAAGTAACACAGTTATATAGGGACACTGTCAGGGAAGTAACACAGTTACAAAGGGACACTGTTCAGTGACGTAACACAGTTATATAGGGGAACTGTTCAGGGAAGTAACACAGTTACATAGGGACACTGTTCAGGGAAGTAGCACAGCTATATAGGGACACTGTTCAGGGAAGTAACACAGCTATATAGGGACACTGTCAGTGAAGTAACACAGTTATATAGGGACACTGTCAGGGAAGTAACACAGTTATATAGGGACACTGTTCAGGAAAGTAACACAGTTATATAGGGAAACTGTTCAGGAAAGTAACACAGTTATATAGGGAAACTGTTCAGGGAAGTAACACAGTTACATAGGGACACTGTTCAGGGAAGTAACACAGCTATATAGGGACACTGTTCAGGGAAGTAACACAGTTATATAGGGACACTGTTCAGGGAAGTAACACAGTTATATAGGGACACTGTCATGGAAGTAACAGTTATATAGGGACACTGTTCAGAGAAGTAACACAGTTATATAGGGGCACTGTCCAGGGAAGAAACACACTTATATAGGGGCACTATTCAGGGAAGTAACACAGTTATATAGGGACACTGTTCAGGGAAGTAACACAGTTATATAGCGACACTGTTCAGCGAAGTAACACAGTTACATAGGGACACTGTTCGGGGAAGTAACACAGTTATATAGGGACACTGTTCAGGGAAGTAACACAGTTAAATAGGGACACTGTCATGGAAGTAACACAGTTATATAGGGACACTGTCAAATAAACAGCATGATACTAAGTAGAATCAGTCACATAAACACGTTGCTATATAGGAACACAGTTACATAAACATGTTACTATTAACATAAATATACAGTTAGATCCAAGTTATTCAAAGGATCAATGGTGAAAACATGATGATACTGGTCATATTGGTAAAGACATGTTATGAAGTAACACCTACCCATTACAGTAACAGTAAAGTTAAGACTTGTCGAGCCAGCAGAGTTGGTGACAACACATGTATAGAAGCCTTCCTGGGGGCGGTCAGCATCATTCAGCAGCAGTGTCTCACCCCTGTCCAATATCTGGAAGAACCGACTGTCCCGGGCAACAAGACCACCCTGCCAGTACCATGTGATATCTGGGGGTGGGATTCCCAAAGTGGGGCAACGCAGAGCAAGATTGTTGCCCAAGACAACAGACTTCTCCTGTAGAGCCTGAGAACCGTTAATGCGAGGACGCACTGAAAATATTATTTATCATACATTTCAACTAATTCCATGTTTAAAAGAAAAAGAACAAAAAACAGGATTTTTTTCCCCTTGCAGAATTAAAAACAACAAAAAAGGACAGAGACAGTTCAACCTGTGATACTGATTTGTAGTTTACTCCCCAGTAATATTCATTTTTTTCTGTTAATTTCATATATTCTTCAACTATTAAAACAACAAAATATTTTCATTATCATTGACATTTTTAATAAAACCCATCACCATTGATATTGACTTGAAAGAATTTCTCGGCGAATCCAGCTCCATTCTCAGCATGACACATGTATTGGGCCGTGTCACCTATTCTGGCGGTGTGGATCCTCAGGACCTATTACATGAGGGACGCATTTCATTCACATAAATTTAAACTGCATTAACATAATATTTACACATCTCAGTAATAATACTAACAATAAATAATAATAATTCTGCTTTTTCACAACCTAGTTCGTAGGTCATCTCAAAGCGGTTCTCAAATTATTATCCGTGGTTATAGGGCCTTTGCATCCAGCCAATATCTTTCTCAACTCCCTTGAGAGCATAAAGCCGGGAGTTAAGTATCTTGTTCAAAGAAACAACAGTGTTGTGACGTGACTCGAACCAGCAACCATACGGTCACGAGTCCGGTGTGCTACCACTAGACTACTGCCTCCATTGCCTCAGTGTGAACTAGAATTGTAAGCCAAAGGCTAACTAATACCCCCATCTGCTATATAAACCAGAACTGTAATCTAAAGGTTTACTAAGGCAAAGCATTGCAAAGCAATCCATAGTCTCCCACCAGTAATGATTTCTTTATTGACTTAGCTGTACACTTATTTATGTATACTGGTCACTGACATACTTCCTGTACTCCCTCCCCATGCCAAAAGACTTGTTAGCCCAGATGAACCACTTTTGCTAAATTTGTCCAATTAGTTAAGGAAAAGATGTCAAGACAAAGATTTTTAACAAAGTTAAGGAAAAGATGTCAAGACAAAGAATTTTAACAAAGGGCCAAAACTCCTTAAAAAGGGTCGAAATGAAAAAAATACTAGCCTGATGCACGACATCAGGGGGTAATTACAATATCTGTTAACTTTCAATGAAATCGGCCCAGTAGTTTATGAGGCAGACAAATGTTTATTCAACAAAAGGCCAGAACTCCTTTTAAATGGGTTGTAATGAAAAAGTACTACTTGAATGTACAACGTCAGGGGGCAGTTACTATATCTGTAAAAATTGTTGAAATTGGCCCAGTAGATTAGGAAAAGTTGTCAGGACAAGAATTTTTCAACAAAGGGCCTTAACTCCAAAAAAAAAAAGGGTTGGAAAAAAAAATACCTGGATGCACAACATAAGGGCGTAGTTATCATATCTGAAAACTTTCGTTGAAATTGGCCGCATAGTCTTGGAGGAGTTGTCAGGAGAAGTATTTTTCAACAAAGGGCCTTTACTCCAAAAAAAAGGGACAGATTGAAAAAAATAAACCTGGATGCACAGCATCAGGTGGTAGTTATCATATGTGAAAACTGTCATTGAAATTGGCCCTGAAGTTTTGGGGAAGTTGTCCAGGAAAGCATTTTTTTTAAAAGGCAATAACTCCGTAAAAAACGATCATAATGGAAAAATTGGACCTGGATGCACAACTACATGTGGTAGTTTCAAAACTGGAAAGTTTCGTTGAAATTGGTCCATTACTTTAGAAGGAGTTGTCCAGACAAAAAAAATCTACGGATGAACCGACAGACAGACAAGCTGATTCCAGTATACCCCCCCCCTAAATTCGTTGAGGGGTATAATGATTATATTTCAAACAGTAAATAAAAAAGCTTTAGGGTGTATACTAAAATTGTATGGCACAGGCCAACTATAACCCCCCTAAGCCTTAAAATTAGCTTAATAAATTAAAGTCAGTTGCAATTTACATCAAGTAATGAAAATGTGTAACAATTTCATAAAAGTTTGTTCAAAGATTTTATAAGCCTAATTCTAGACATTTGTATCATGAAAATAAGAACAAAACTTTGCCAAAGATTTCACAAAAGAGGCTAAATTCCTATAAAACAGCAGGAAAAAAGGTGTGTGTGTGTGTTTAAGGGCAGGTAGTTTCAGAGGGAGGTGATTATATCCACAAAATTCTGATGTAAACTGAAGAGAAATTAGGTTCACGATTTAAGTTATCTTCACACCCAACTAGTAATATATTCAACACAGTGTGTTTTCAAACTCTATCTGTAAGCAAAATGTCCCATAGGCAAGGGACAAATTAAATATATATGCACACATCATTTTTCATGAAAACTTTGCAGCTTGACAAAGAGACAAATCAGTCTGGAGATGTTGCCAATGTTTATATGTACATTTTATATATGCCTACTCCCCTACAGAGTTGATTGCTGTACAAATTGCAACCATACTGGATCGCATCCACCACTTTGATACATGATTGATCTTATTGAAACTAGAAAATCTCTGTAAGACATAAATGCCCCCGCTCATGGATGGGACGGGGGGCATAAAAATAAAGCTTGGCTGAATGTTTGACATTTCCAGATATTGACAGATTATTTAACACAAAGACATACTATACCTGTCCCCCTGCAATGATGCTGATGTGTGAGTTCTGGGCCAGCTCAATGACACGCCCATCCTTTTGCCACTGTATCCCAGGATCTGGAATACCTGTGACGGGACATTCCAGTGTGACCTGCTCTCCCTCTAACACTGTGATGACCGGCTTCTCTGACGCATTTGTAATTGATGGTCTCACTGTGTAATACATCAAATATTTTTTTTATTTCTTTAAAAACTACATTGAGTAAATAATATAAATTAATAAACAATCGGCAAGAATTGAACAGATATATTTGTTAGATTATAGAAGATCCTCTTTGTGCTGACATCTGTATGACAATACATATTTGTTTTCATAGATTTTTGATTTTTACGAAATGTGGGCAGAATACCTGCAATTTTAGAAAACGCTGGATACCGAAACTCTTACATGTGAGTTTTGACTTTTTTGTCTCAGTTATGCATTGTAGTTGCTTATCTCCTTATGAGGGAAGAGAGACACTGCTAAAAGCATTCATGTCTGATAATAGCCACGCTACAGGAGTGGAAACACACCAAACACTCGAAGGTAGAAATTCATGGAGTCCTCCCCAGCAGAGTTGAGTGCTGTACAAGTATACTGGACAGCATCCACCACTTTAGCATTGCGGATCTCCAGTCTACGGTTACGGTTGGTGACATTCAGGTTCTGGTATGGAAAGTTATTCAGAGGAACACGATCCTTCAACCAAAATACAGAGGGAGTAGGAATACCTCCTGTCACAGGGCACTCCATGACTGCGTTTCCATTCTCTTTTACCGTAAAGTTGGTTTTTACGGACTTGTCAAGTTGGGGTGGTACTGCAAATACAAAATAATGGTGTGTTTCATGGTATAGATCTGTCAAGTCAAAACAATTAGAATTTCATAATTTAGATTTATTCTGAAAACCTATGTATAATATAATGGTTTCATTTTACTTAAGTGATTTCTTTAAAAGTGTTTCCTTTTTTAAATATATAGGTGAAACTTGCTCAGATATACTGTGAAACTTCCTTTCCAAAAGCAAAAATTTGTTTAAACTGCATTGACTTTTTGATAGATTATACCTCACCAATTAATCGAGAAATATAACATTACCGACATTTTTTTCAAACACAAAGAATTAGAGAAAAAGTCCTTGCATCGGTCCTTTTTATCAATACCTAGAATCATGAGTTGGAAGTTTTTGCGGAGTTGTCCAGCCTCATTAGTAGCTTGACAAGTATAGGTGGCACTATCACCAGTCTGAGCACGCTCAATCTGAAGCTGCTTGTTGTTGCTTAGGAGACTGATCCTCTCTGTCTGTTGGACTGGCTGGTCATTAAGGAACCACTTGACTGTTGGAGTGGGGACTCCTGATACATCACATTCCAACAAAACAGTCCGGTTGACAACGACACGCGGTGTGTACACAGTGTTGGACTCATCAATGTCTGGGGGAACTGTGGAAGCAGAGTTAATGGCATTAGGGCTAGCTTATTGTGGGTAGCTTTTCAAACATAGACATTTTAAAGAAAACTCTTTTAAAAAAACTTTCAAGGTCTCTAAATTTCTGAATTAAAATTACAACAAAGAAGTTTTATCACCTACCCAGTACCACCAGCTCCATGTCGGCCATGTCTCGGCCAGCACGGTTTGTTGCTACACATCTGTACATGCCACGATCATTATTTGTAGCGTTGATGATTCTCAGCTGTCGTCCTCCATCAAGTAACACTACTCGCTCTGTGAAGATCATCACATGTCCATTCTTCTGCCACTCAATGTTTGGCTGGGGGATACCATTTGCCGGACAATTAAGGACAGTTGTTCGACCTCTTATAACTTTGGTGATTTCATCGTAAGTGTCATCTATACTTGGTGGTACTATAAGGATAAAAGACAAGAGGCCCATGGGCCTTAACGGTCACCTGATATATTTATACAGAGAGTTGATTTTGTTTTTAACATGAACAGAAATATTATTCAAAGTGACAAAAAACAATAAAACCACCTTACTCAATATCTAGCATACAGATTTCAGACTAAAAAGGATTTGAAACTAGCACCTCTGATTCTTAACAAGGAAAATGAAGAAATTTTAGCACACTGACTCCTTTGAGCCCCACCCTACAGCCCTTGGGGGTAGGGCTGGCTCAAAATTTTCAAAGTATCAAACTGTCAATTCAAGGTTATAATTCCAATCAAGTTATTA